CCTCTGATGGCTGTCTACCACTAGGTGGAGCTGGTAGAGAAGATATGCCTTCACTCTGTAGTTTACTAGCAACACTTTCATACAACCTCTGTTGTAACTCTGGTAGCAGTTCAGCAATGGCATCACATAAAACCCGGACCTGCCTCTGACGGAACTGATCCAGCTCTTCGGTCACACACTGCTGAACCTGAGCTCCAATCTGTCTTGCCAGCTGTTCCTGAGTCATTATCTCCCTTGCTTGGCCTGCTCGCAGACCGGTTAATTCATGAGATAAAAATGACTTCAGCTCCGACATCTCCCTACTCAGTCCACTGGATACTGATGATAAAAAAATGATGTTTGTAGTCACAGTTTATACTTTAATGTTGCATTTATCGTTTTGTTAGCAAAATTTCTTAGCATTATTCATAACACTGTTTTTAATCCCACCTTTCTCATGAGATATCTTTTCCTCCCTGTAAAAAAATATTCAATGATAAAATAAGTACGGTATTTTATACTGAAACCAAATTATACATGTAAATATTTTTATAAATTCTTCAAACTTTAATGCATCAGCAACTCATTAAATAAAGGGCATCCTAATAATGTGACAACCTTTTGTATAAAGTGGTGACCTCTGGGACCTCCTGGTATGAAATGGCTGCTTCTTCACTTAAGACAGTCACAGAAATCCGAACATCCTCAACCAACTCTTGTACCTTCTCAGTAACAAGTAACCTCTCCAGAAACTTCTGCAGTCTCTGAAGGGAATCAGAGCAGGTGCCCCTCTCCAGCTCCTCCTGACTAGTAAATAGCACCGTGAGTTGGAGGCACCCCAGGGATATGTCTGCCAGATGGCCCCTCATCTCCCGTAAGAGGTACCTCACCAGTTCCTGACATTTGTCACAGTCCTTGTTCACCAGGTCCTCGAGGACCGACCTCTCCAGGGCCTGGAGGTCCTCTGTCAGGGAGGAGGTTAACTGTACCTTGATCCTGGTCCTCAGTGCCTCCTCAGTGTCCTCAACTCCCCTCCATCTCAGTGTCACTACTGAGGCACCGGTGTGAGTGTCAACTGTCAGAAGGAAATCAGTCACAATGACACAATTATTTAAACCTTTATCCTATATATTACTCTAAGCAGAAACATCTTCAATTCTTACAGACAAGAATACAAAAATGTCTCCAGCTTAACAATAATTTGTTTAAAAGGTCCATTATACTTACATATTCTTCATAAGTGTAAGGATTTAAAATGAATGAACACATAGGCATATCTTATTGCTGGTAAACATCTAACCTTCCAATGTCCCCTCTTTCTTCAGTTTCTCCATCAGCCCATCATTAATATGCAGCTCCACCACAACACAACATTGTCCAATCTGTATGTACTTCCCCTTCTCATGGACAAAGAAGTGAAGAGTTGTGTCCCCTGATGACGGAGCGCCCCCTGTGACAGAGGTGGAGGGAGACAGGGGGACAGTGTCTGTTGTAGGGCTGGGGGTCAGGGGGTCAGACAACTGCTGCCCTCTGTCAGTGTTACCTAAATAAAGGGGCAGGAAAGGGAGGGTTAACAATTGGGAATTATAAAAAACAAATAATTCAATAAAGAGATAGGCAATGCTTTTAATTCTTTATATGCATTTTAATTCACACATACAGTCAAACCTGTATTAAGAGATCAATATAACAATAACTTATTTGGTTTTGAGATTCACAGTTAAAAAGAAGTCCAATAAAAATTCTGAAATTTATTGATTTACAAATTTACTTTGTGATCCAGTAATTTCTTTCTTTATTTTATTGTTTTGAATATTTTTCTCTTTCTTCAAAGATTAAAATTCATTCAAGAAAAAAAAACAACAGGTCAGGTTATTTTCAGAAGTATTAATTTCAAATTCATACATTTGTGAAAACTAATGAGTATGAAGTATTACTTGAAGATTGTGTGACATTGAAGTGGAAGGCGGTATCCTCTGCACACGATATATCAGAGGCTAGTGCTTCAATCTGTAGATTCAGGCTGCTGGAGGTCTGAACCAGCTGGTTCTCCCCAGATACTACAGAAAAGTATAACATTTCAAAAGTATCCCATATCAATCATACTGGGTCATCACTAATCTTTGTGTGGATTTTATTTTTGTTGTTTTGAGGAATTACGAGACCCACAAACAAACATTCCTATCTTTGGATGCCTCCTATCTGAAGATAGTGATCAAGCCAATTTGCTTGTTGCATTTTGCATTCTGAATCATTTTGGAAATATAATGTCACCTCTAACTTACTGGACATCTCAGGTAAAGGACTTCCTTCTGGTATATTACCTGTCACCTCAGGTAAAGGACTTCCTCCTGGTATATTACCTGTCATCTCAGGTACAGGACTTCCTTCTGGTATATTACCTGTCATCTCAGGTACAGGACTTCCTTCTGGTATATTACCTGTCACCTCAGGTATAGGACTTCCTCCTGGTATATTACCTGTCATCTCAGGTACAGGACTTCCTTCTGGTATATTACCTGTCATCTCAGGTACAGGACTTCCTTCTGGTATATTACCTGTCACCTCAGGTATAGGACTTCCTCCTGGTATATTACCTGTCATCTCAGGTACAGGACTTCCTTCTGGTATATTACCTGTCATCTCAGGTACAGGACTTCCTCCTGGTATATTACCTGTCACCTCAGGTACAGGACTTCCTCCTGGTATATTACCTGTCATCTCAGGTACAGGACTTCCTCCTGGTATATTATCTGTCATCTCAGGTATAGGACTTCCTCCTGGTATATTACCTGTCATCTCAGGTACAGGACTTTCTTCTGGTATATTACCTGTCATCTCAGGTACAGGACTTCCTTCTGGTATATTACCTGTCATCTCTGGTACAGGACTTCCTCCTGGTATATCACCTGACATCTCAGGCAAAGGACTTCCTTCTGGTATATCACCTGACATCTCACGTACAGGACTTCCTTCTGGTATATCACCTGACAGCTCAGGTACAGGACTTTCTTCTGGTATATTACTTGTCATCTTATGTACAGGACTTCCTTCTGGTATATTACCTGTCATCTCTGGTATAGGACTTCCTCTGGTATATTACCTGTCATCTCAGGTACAGGACTTCCTTCTGGTATATCACCTGTCATCTCAGGTACAGGACTTCCTCCTGGTATATTACCTGTCATCTCTGGTATAGGACTTCCTCTGGTATATTACCTGTCACCTCAGGTATAGTTCTTCCTACTGATATATCACCTGTCATTAACTCACCTGACATCTCAGGCAAAGGACTTCCTTCTGGTATATCACCTGACATCTCATGTACAGGACTTCCTTCTGGTATATCACCTGACAGCTCAGGTACAGGACTTTCTTCTGGTATATTACTTGTCATCTTATGTACAGGACTTCCTTCTGGTATATTACCTGTCATCTCAGGTACAGGACTTCCATCTGGTATATTACCTGTCATCTCTGGTATAGGACTTCCACCTGGTATATTACCTGTCATCTCAGGTACAGGACTTCCTTCTGGTATATTACCTGTCATCTCAGGTACAGGACTTCCTCCTGGTATATTACCTGTCATCTCTGGTATACTTCCTCTGGTATATTACCTGTCATCTCAGGTACAGGACTTCCTTCTGGTATATTACCTGTCACCTCAGGTACAGGACTTCCTTCTGGTATATTACCTGTCATCTCAGGTACAGGACTTCCTCCTGGTATATTATCTGTCATCTCAGGTATAGTACTTCCTTCTGGTTTATTACCTGAAACCTCAGGTATAGTTCTTCCTACTGATATATCACCTGTCATTAACTCACCTGACACCTCAGGTATCGAACTTCCTTCTGGTATATTTCCAGTAACTGTTCTTTGGGCTGTGGTGATAGAACCTCCATGAGCTCTGATGCTAACATTCCTACAATTGAAATAGTCATCAACACTTTAAAATCCTGAACAATTTAAACAAAAATGGCTGAATGATTCCCCTAACAAAAATGTAAAGCTTTAGCCTTATATTGAATCATAAGACATTCATATTATGCTGAATATGCCTTTAATATCCTGTAGATATGTCTTTAAAATAAGTCAATCTATAACATACATGTTAATTAACTCACCGTTGATTACTCATGGTATATTCTTTCAGTCATTTCTAACTGAACAATATCAAGATATCAAGATGACATTGTCTTACAATGGCAGAATATTCATTGCTTTCCTGAAAAATGGAAATTGATTGGAAATATGAAATCATAATGATGTGCCCCCGGCCCCATTGTAACCAGCACACAAACTTCAATAATCCTTTTCACCATTATACTAATTTCTATGTCTAGTAAGAATGCAAATATCTCTGCAGCAAATTTAATATTTACCTTCTATGTTAAGAAGCTCCTTCACCAGTTTACTGTTTTTCAAAACTCACATTATGCAGAAACACTCCAGTGTATTCTGGATTATATTTGATTTAAGTCTATGAGTTGACTGTACCAATATGCAGCTGATACAGACTGAAATTTATAATCATTGTAAATTACATTCAGTAGTTCACAACTTGGCTATATGATCTACAGGTATACATAATTTTTCAACTTCCTTAAAAATAAAAATAAAAAAATTGATTTGGCCTACCGATCGGTTTAATTATAATATTACCTTAATTAATTCTTAACAACGCATTTGATTGTGCTTTCGATCGTATATCAATTAGTTATTAGTTGATTAGTCAAACTTAATTGAAATTAAACCAATATATAACGAATACATCACCTTTCTTTAGTTTAAATGTCCTCACAACATGATCAACATGCCTTCTGTTTACGACATCTAGCGAGAAATGAAACCGAAAGTAGATTTGAAGAATTTTGGAAAAAGACAAAAGATAAACGTTATTATTCACTATTTTTGATAACATTTAAATGTTTTTGTTTTATTTTCTCCTTTTTTCTTTCATTATCGATTTCTATTGAAAAATTTGGTGACATGTTTAAAAATAAAAATCTACTTTCGTTTTACGTTTCTGCACCATAATCGTATGGAAATCCAATAGTCTATTGATAGAAGAACGAAAAGTTCCAAGAGCAGAGCTTGGGAACTTTGAAGAAAATTTGGACAAGAGTGAAATTTGACTAGCTGACGACAGTAGCGGGTAAGATATTAAAATAACTGAGAGATCTTTTTTTATTTTTTTAATATATATTTTTTTTATTTTTCGAGGTTTAAAAATTGAAACTGAATGTACTAAATGTGACATTTTAATATTCTTCCTACATTATTTATGTATCAAGGAACATTCTATTTTCTTCCTGCTAATAGTACAATTTCTGACCATAAAAATTAATTAATGATTGCAAGCATATAACTTTGCTTGTGATCATTTATTTAATTTTTTAAGTCATCGAATGAATGACTCAATGAAGATTTTGGCTGTAATTGGCATGCCAAATTCACAAAAATCAACAAAACATAGTTTCAAAGTCGATAAACTTAAGGTTTATCTGTCGTAAACTATAGTTTACGGACTAGTGTAAACTATAGTTAACAATGTTAATCTATATTTTACATCTGTAAACTATATTATAGTTAACGCGATAATCTATGTTTCACAACTGTAAACTTTACTTAACATCAAAAACAATCATTTGCATTGCAAAACATAGATTATCTGATAAATACAGTTTAATGATTATAAACTCACTTGGTTTACAACTCTTAACTATACAAGGGTTGTCCCGTAAAATCGTGGACAAAGCGTTTTTCTTGAAAAGTAATTGGGCGCCATACGCTGAAAATTACAGTAAATGTTTATTTATCATATTTAAGTGCATGATAAGTTTTTTGATAAAATATAGGCAAAAATAAAGATTTTATTATGCTTGAATGTGCACGAGGTCAAAAAACCAAGGGTTTACTAAAGAATACACAAGTTTGAATTCAAAATAAAAGTTTTAAATACATAAGATTTGGATTAAAATTATCCTAATTCAATTCCACAATCAATTTTGTAGTCTTGTAAAAATTTCAAGGCATTTGCTTAATTTTTGGCAGTTTCTCGAGCATTCGAAATGGGAAAGTAGTAAACACAACACACGAAAAATGGCGACGTTTTATGACGTTACGGCGCACTGGAGAACAGTTCAGTTTTATTTCTATGTTGTAATGACACCTGTAGAGACTTGAAATAATCATAGAAGAAAAAAGATTATAAAAATATCACCATATCTTAAGTATACAAATAAAATAGGATTTTTCTTAGTGAAGTTTTTTCTGATCGAGTCCCTGGGGAGTACAAAACATAAGTACAAACTCCTCATGTAATAGCCAAGGACGCTGTCATAGTAGACCGCCGATATGAGATTTTCTATTAGTTGAATGATGGTGAGAATATTGTCTGTAACTTACTAATAAATCTTCAGAAGATCGCGTGAGGGTGCCAATTGGTTCTTCGGTTATGGAGACTAAAGAATGTGTATCAATGTGTATCAATGAAATTCCTAAATTTAAGTCGGACTCATCCAACTTCATTTTCAGCAAAGATAAAACGTGACACTGTTTTAGACAGTTTGACGTTATAATCCATGCGCCGTAAGGTGATACAATACATGGCATAAAATCTCATAATTTGTTAATTTATGTACTGTAAAAGCACAAATATTCGTGGGGGATTAAATTTCGTTTATTTCGTTGTCAACAATTATCAACGAAATTAAATCCCACACGAAATTTTATATGACTATATATTGAATAGGGTTACATTCAAAACAACGAAATTAAATCCCCACGAAATTATTGTGGATATCAAAACAACGAAATTTTATCCCCACAAAAATTTGTGCTTCTACAGTATATATTTATCTGAAATTTGCTGTGTATATTACTAAAATATGTACCAAAAAATAGTGAAAATTTCAGAACACGGTGATGTTTATTTTTCACACTAGACAACTTGTCCACGATTTTATGGGACAACCCTCGTATATATATAGTTAACGATGGTCGATCGTAAATTAAAGTTTACAGACGTGAATCTATAGTTTATCAGCAAAATCTCTTGTTAACGTTTTATTACAGACAGATAAACTTAGATTAGCATATGTAAACTATAGTTAACAACCATTAAATATAGTTTAATTTACAGATGAAAACTATATTTAACGAATTATATTTACATTCAGTGTAATTTTCCTTATGAAATCCATTAGAAATCCACGACATTCAAATTTCTATAACACACACGAAACCTTGTCACCACGTGTTAGAATACACAATAGGAACTATATGCATTTTCAATACTCTAGGAACACCAAAATGTAAAATGTTTTACTGTAGAAGTACTTTTTTCCGCATGGTATTAATTTCAGCTAAATACACGGTCACAAATTTTCCGCGGAAATTTGTCTAAGTGTACTTTATTTAAATGTAAGGCATATAGTGACAATCTAGAAAATCCGCGTAATTTTCTACCCGCGGATTGAACAGAAATTGAGATTTCGCGGAATTATGACCCCGTGGAAAAAAGTACGTCTACAGTATTTCAATTAACTGAAAAACTATAACCCTGAAAAATTAACGTAAAAAATAACGTAATGTGCGTTAAGAATAAATTTGTCATTTTTTTCCTCGCAATGTTTGTTTGCGTAATTTAACTTTGCAACGTCATTTAACGTCATTTGACGTCACAAACAGCTCTTACATCTATTAACCAGGGCAGTTTCGAAAGGCGCTAAATTCACATTAAAGATTAACAAAATAAACAATTATGAGGATGAAAAATTAGACAATGTAAATATAAGCATTGAATTCATATTTTTGGATGTCTTCGGTCCTATAACACACCTGGCCGTGCCGACAAATTATCATACCGCGCTAACATGCGGTATTCAATTTATCGGCACGGCCAGGTTTGTTATACGACCGAAGACATCCAAAAATATGAATTCAATGCTTAAGTAAACTATAGTTCACGATTTATAAACTATAGTTTATAGTCGATAAACCTAGTTTATCAATTGTGAAACTATGTTTAGCATGCTAAATTCACAAAAATGAGCTAAACATAGTTTCACAGTCGATAAACTAAGTTTATCTGTCGTAAACTATAGTTTACAGACTGTCTACTATAGTTAACAACTTTAATCTATATATTTTACATTTGTAAACTATAGTTAACGCGATAATCTATGTTTCACAACCATAAGGTATACTTAACACCAAAAATAATCATTTGCGATTGCAAAACATAGATCATCTGATAAATACAGTTTCAAGGTTTGTAAACTATAGTTTACAACTCTAAACTATAGTTAACGATCATAAATTATAGTTTCATCATGGTTCCTTTTGGTTCCTGGTGGAACATAGGGCCTCGGCAACAGTTCTCCACCGCACTCTATTCTGGGCAGCTCTTTTCAGTTGTTCCCAGGTGTGTCCACATTGCCTGATCTCCTCTTCACATGACCTTCGCCAAGTTTTCCTGGGACGCCCAACTCGCCGTTTGCCTTGTGGGTTCCACTCTAGTGAGTGGCGTGTAATGTCTCCTGGTGGTTTTCCGAGGGTATGTCCAATCCATCGCCACTTTCTGCGGGCTATTTGTTTAGTGATTGGGTCTTGGTTTGTTTTTTCCAACAGGATCTTGTTGCTTATAGTTTCTGGCCATCTGATGTTTAATATGTGGCGCAGACATCTGTTAGCGAAAATTTGTAGTTTGTTGGAGGTGGTGTTGGTGACTCTCCATGTTTCAGACCCGTAGAGGAGCACAAACTTAACATTGGTGTTGTAGATGCGGAGTTTTATGTGTGTGGATAGTGCTGTTGAACTCCACACAGGCTTGAAGGTGGTGAAGATGTGTCTGGCTTTATTAATTCTAGCTTTTATGTCTTCATATGTTCCACCAGTGGCTGTGACGATGCTGCCTAAGTATGTAAAGGAGTCTACATCTTTAAGGTTGTGCTCTCCAAGTGTAACTGGCATTTGCTGTTTCTTGTGGAGCCGCATCACCTCTGTCTTTTCGATGTTTACCTTTAGACCTGTCTTTGCTGCTTCTTTTGCAAGCCTATTTGTCTTGAGCTGCATATGCTCATACTTCTGGGACATGAGGCATAGATCATCTGCAAAGTCAAGGTCTTCCAAACACTGAGTGAGAGTCCACTGGACTCCTGTCTTACTATCTTTCAATGTCTCCCGCATGATCCAGTCCACCACCACTAGAAAAATCATTGGTGACAGCAGACAGCCTTGTCTAACCCCAGTCTGTACCTCAAACGCTTCAGTAAGCTTTCCATTGTGGATGACTTGGCATGTTGCCTCGTCATACAATTGTTGTATCAGGTTGATAAAGGTAGGAGGGGTTTCCATAATGCTGTAGTAGTTTCCAGATGACTTTTCTATCAACACTATCAAAGGCCTTTTCAAAGTCTATGAAGTTAAGATACAGTGTTGACTGCCACTCCAGTGACTGTTCGATTATTATACGTAGAGTGGCGATCTGGTCTGTACTTGTCCTTTCTAAAGCCTGCCTGTTCAGGACAAAGTCGTTCTTCTATAGCATCTTTGAGCCTTTCCAGTATTATTCTTGTTAGGATCTTGCTTGGGACGGAGAGGAGCATGATGCCACGCCAGTTCTTGCATTGTCCCAGGTCTCCTTTCTTGGGTAGCTTCACTAGATGTCCTTTTTTCCAATCAGGTGGCACCTTTCCCTCTGACCATATCTTCTGCAGGAGGGGTAGTAACATGTCTGCTGAAGCCTTTGTGTCTGCTTTAAGGGCTTCTGGAGGGATTCCATCAGGCCCAGCTGCTTTCCCACTCTTTAGTTTCTTCAGAGCCTTGATGGTCTCAGCCCTTGTGGGAGGGGCAGTGATCACTGCTAGTTCAGAGTCTCCTGGTGGTATGTTTGGTGTTGTTTCAGGTGCTGGTCGATTTAGGAGTTCTCTGAAATGTTCTGCCCAGCGCTTTCTCTGGTCTTCTTCCTTTGTTATCTCATTGCCTTCCTTGTCTTTTACTGGCTTGGTCTGTGGTGGTCTTTTCCCAGCCAGGGTTCTTGTGATTTTGTACATGGTACAGAAGTCTCTTTTCTCTGCTGCTTCCTCAGCTTCTGTAGCGAGTTCATTATAAAAGTGTCTTTTATCTCTCCTTGCACTTTTCTTTACTTCATTGTTTAGAATAGTCTGTCTGTCTTTTAATTCTTGCTTATTTTGTTCCTCCTCGCAACTGATAATTTGCTGTTTGAGAAGTTTTCTTTCATCGACCAGTTTCCATGTATATCCTGAAAGCCATTCCTTGTCTCCCTTTTCTCTTTTCCCTAGGATCTCTTCGCATGCGAAATTATAGTTTACAGATGTGAATTTATGTTTATCAACGAAATCTATTGTTAACGTTTTATTACAGACAGATAAACTTAGATTAGCATTCATTCGTAAACTATAGTTTTACAGATGAAAACTATACTTAACGAATCGTTAACTATAGTTTACGGTTTGTAAACTAGAGTTTACAGTTAATAAACTTAGTTTATCAATAATATTGTGAAACTAGGTTTAGCTCATTTTTGCGAATTTGGCGTGCCATATGGCTGGGAAAAAACGTACCCATTGCTTGATGTTTTTATAGCAGTTAAATATTGGAAAATTTATACCATGACTTATATCTAAAATAATTGCAATTTTTTGACAGCTGTGTAATAGTAATCTAAATCTCTTCTGAATCATTGCAATTTTTACAGCAGTATATTGTGGATAAGTTATAACATGTTTAACATGGCTTAAATAAAGCATGCTTAATTTTTTCCAGCAGTACATGGTAAAGCTATAACATGGCTGGGCAGTCTGGAGGTAACCCCATCAGGCCAGAGGCCCTCGGGGGGATAGACACTAATAACCTGTTTGGGAATAATCCTACGGACATCTTTGGACAAGGTGGAGAAAGTGGACTGGCGGCAATGCTTCAGAGGGGTGGAGGTAAGATATAGAGGGGTGGAGGTAAGATATAGAGGGGTGAAGGTAAGATATAGAGGGGTGGAGGTAAGGAGAGGGGATAAGAAGACTGACAGCAATGCTTGAGAGGGGTGGAGGTAAGATATAGAGGGGTGGAGGTAAGATATAGAGAGAGGCTTAGAAGTTTGACAGCAATGTTTGAGAGGGGTGGGGGTAAGATATAGAGGGGATAAGAAGAGCAGCATTGCTTGAGATGAGTGGAGGTAAGATGTAGAGGGGGTAAGAAGACTGGCAGCATTGCTTGAGATGAGTGGAGGTAAGATGTAGAGGGGATAAGAAGACTGGCAGCATTGCTTGAGAGGGTTGGAGGTAAGATGTAGAGGGGATAAGAAGACTGGCAGCATTGCTTGAGAGGGTTGGAGGTAAGATGTAGAGGGGATAAGAAGACTGGCAGCAATGCTTGAGAGGGGTGGAGGTAAGAGGCCCTCGGGGGGATAGACACTAATGCACTGTTTGGGAATAATCCTACGGACATCTTTGGACAAGGTGGAGAAAGTGGACTGGTGGCAATGCTTCAGAGGGGTGGAGGTAAGATATAGAGGGGTGGAGGTAAGATATAGAGGGAGGCTTAGAAGTTTGACAGCAATGTTTGAGAGGGGTGGAGGTAAGATATAGAGGGGAGAAGAAGCTAATGACAGCAATGCTTGAGATGAGTGGAGGTAAGATGTAGAGGGGGTAAGAAGACTGGCAGCAATGCTTGAGAGGGGTGGAGGTAAGAGGCCCTCGGGGGGATAGACACTAATGCGCTGTTTGGGAATAATCCTACGGACATCTTTGGACAAGGTGGAGAAAGTGGACTGGCGGCAATGCTTCAGAGGGGTGGAGGTAAGATATAGAGGGGTGAAGGTAAGATATAGAGGGGTGGAGGTAAGATATAGAGGGGTGGAGGTAAGGAGAGGGGATAAGAAGACTGACAGCAATGCTTGAGAGGGGTGGAGGTAAGATATAGAGGGAGGCTTAGAAGTTTGACAGCAGTGCTTGAGAGGGGTGGGGGTAAGATATAGAGGGGAGAAGAAGCTAATGACAGCAATGCTTGAGAGGGGTGGAGGTAAGATGTAGAGAGGATAAGAAGTCTGACAACAATGCTTGAGATGAGTGGAGGTAAGATGTGGAGGGGATAAGAAGTCTGGCAACAATTGCTTGAGAGGGGTGGGGGTAAGATATAGAGTGGATTGGAAGTTTGACAGCAATTGTTTGAGAGTGGTGGAGGTAAGATATAGATGGGCTCAGAAGTCTTGCAGCAATGGTTGAGAGGGGTGGGGGTAAGATATAGAGTGGATCGGAAATTTGACAGCAATTGCTTAAGAGGGGTGGGGGTAAGATATAGATGGGCTCAGAAGTCTTGCAGCAATGGTTGAGAGGGATGGAGGTAAGATATACATATAGGGGATTAGAAGACTGGCAGCAATGCTTGAGAGGGATGTGTGTAAGGAGAGGGGCTCAGAAGTTTGACAGCAATGCTTGAGAGGGGTGGAGGTAAGATAGAGAGGGGATCGTAAGTTTGACAGCAATGCTTGAGAGGGGTGGGGGTAAGGAAGAGGAATACGTATTATCATGAGTACCTCTCAGTTATCTAACTTACTTAACTGCTCTTTTGTGGGGAAGCCGAGAAAACTCTTAATCTGGTAAGATTACTGGGACACATGGCATTGTTTACAGTAGTGACAATCGAATGATTCAAACAATTTTATGCCGAAATAGCAAAGTATTGCCGTGGATTGTCAAATAAGGAAAGTTTAGAATATTTTCTCAGCTTTAAAATGTGATGATTTTCAATGAAAATTTAATGAGGAGAGCCTGCTTAGTTAAAAATATCGTAAAAATGTAACATTTTAGGATTTAAGATTTTAGGATTAGCTCTTCACAAAAATTAATTACGCTGGTTCAGCGATTCTTTAGCAAGGTATTCCACGAGGATTTTTTACTTCCATGTCCTTATAAATTCTACAATGATCGATCTTGCATTGTATTCAATATAGCACATTTGTCCCCATCCAACAGTCATTTCCTACCTCCATTGCGAAAGAGTTCCGCTAAGTTAAGTAGTATTGGGTCTAGTTAGATACAGGGGATTATGATGAAAAGTTATAATGAATTAAGACATGCAAGTTATGATGAAGGCATATGTCTAGAGAGAGAGAGATGGGGGGTTGGGGGGTTGGTGTAGGAGAGAAGCATAAAAATAACTGGCACATAACAGTTCTCGAGAGGAAGATATACTTACGATATATAGGGGGTCAAAGTGCTAGCAGGAGGTTTAGTGAAGGGAGTGGGAGGTGAGAGGTAAGAGAATGGGGATTAACATAGTATTACAGCTTAGTAGTTCAAAGGGACTGGGAAGAGGAGATATTTATAAACAAGGTCAAAATTCTAGTAGAAGTTGTACAAAAATGAGAGGATTTCAAGTAAAACAGATGGTCAAAAGTCGGTCAGCTTTTGTAGGGAGGGGAGGAAGTAAAAAGAAAAATTCTAGAGAGGGGTATGTTGGTAAAATAAAAGAGGTCAAAATTTATGGTATGTGACAGTGAATGAAGTAGATAAATATAACCTTGGAGGCAAAACAGATAGTAGATACATGTACTAATAAGTAAGATTTGTTATCTCAGAGTATATTCCATACATCAACTTCCTTGTCTTGCAAAGCTGGAACTGTAAGATAAATTATTTTTTTCATTTCCAGTACATATATGTAAAGGGACAGACTCATGAAGTTCTTGTGTGTAACATTTTCAGATTTTGTTTTTATTTGACGTACATATGCATGTATATATGCAGCTACGAAGTTCATTGGATTGAAAGATTTCTTTTCCTGAATATTACAGTCATTTTAATGAATTAAGTTCTAAAGAACTTGATCTACTTGATTTAATGTAGTTGGAGAAGAAGGAATGGGAAATCTACAAGGTCTTTTGAATCAAGGTCGATCTGGAGGTCAAGGTAACCAGATGTTTAACCCTTCCATGGCCGGAGGTTTAGGAGGGAATTTAGGAGGTGGACAGAACATGTTTGACCCTGCCATGTTACAAGGTTTGTCTCTGCCACCAATCTGAATTTTCTACAGTCAAAAAAATCATGACTCTATATCAGTTATTTCTTTTGTTATAAGTCTATTTATAGTCACTGTAGTTAAATTGATTTGACATTTTTCAGTTCAGTATCATTAAGTCTTTTAAATGCTTATATTTGCCTTTTTGCTTGAATGCTTGTATTGTACTATATAAAGTTTAACTAGTCTCCAGTAAATGCACCACTTGAAACACAGAGTCTGTAGACATCCACAGATTATGTGTATTTTCTTCATGTTTTTGATTCCCTGCACATGCAGACATGTTTACTGTAGAGATCTATAAATACAAGTGAAGGATTTATTTTTTAGGATTAGGATTGGGAGGAGGTGGAGGATATGGAGGAGGGGGAGGATTAGGAGGAGCGGATCCCAATGTACTGAGTAACCTGCAGGGAATGTCAGAGGAGGACCGTAAAGCTGTACTGGCTGCCATGGGGGAGGGAGATACCCCCTCACAGTCTGGTAATATGGCTATATTTAGTTTTCTACATACAGAGGTGTCTTACCTTATGCAAAAGTTTTTTTTTAGCTCACCTGAGCCAAAGGCTCAAGTGAGCTTTTCTGATCACATTTTGTCCGTCGTCCGTCTGTCCGTCCGTCTGTCTGTCTGTCCGTCCGTCCGTCTGTAAACTTTTCACATTTTCGACTTCTTCTCAAGAACCACTGGGCCAATTTCAACCAAACTTGGTACAAAGCATCCTTGGGTGAAGGGGAATTTAAATTGTTAAAATGAAGGGACATATCCCCTCGCAAGGGGAGATAATTAAGAAAAGACAAAAATAGGGTTGGGTCATTAAAAAATCTTCTTCTCAAGAACCACTGGGCCAGTAAAGCTGAAACTTATGTGTGAGCATCCTGGGGTAGTGTAGATTCTAAATTGTTCAAATCATGACCCCCAGGGATAGGGCGGGGCCACAATGGGGAATCAAAGTTTTACATAGAAATATAAAGGAAAAATCTTTCAAAATCTTCTATTCAAGAACCACTGGGCCAGTAAAGCTGAAACTTATGTGAAATCATCCTAGGGTAGTGTAGATTCTAAATTGTTCAAATCATGACCCCCGGGGGAAGGGAGGGGCCACAATGGGGAATCAAAGTTTTACATAGAAATATATAGGAAAAATCTTTGAAAATCTTCTTCTCAAGAACCACTGGGCCAGTAAAGCTGAAACTTATGTGAAAGCATCCTGGGGTAGTGTAGATTCTAAATTGTTCAAATCATGACCCCCGGGGGCTGGGCGGGGCCACAATGTGGAATCAATGTTTTACATAGAAATATATAGGAAAAATCTTTGAAAATCTTCTTCTCAAGAACCACTGGGTCAAAAAAGCTGAAACTTATGTGGAAGCATTCTAGGGTAGTGTAGATTATAAATTGTTCAAATCATGACCCCCGGGGGTAGGGCGGGGCCACAATGTGAAATCAAAGTTTTACATAGTAATATAAAGGAAAAATCTTTGAAAATCTTCTTCTCAAGAACCCTGGGCCAGAAAAGCTGAAACTTATGTGGAAGCATCCTGGGGTAGTGTAGATTCTAAATTGTTCAAATCATGACCCCCAGGGGTAGGGCAGGGCCACAATGGGGAATCAAATTTTTACATAGAAATATATAGGAAAAATCTTTGAAAATCTTCTTCTCAAGAACCACAGGGCCAGTAAAGCTGAAACTTATGTGAAAGCATCCTGGGGTAGTGTAGATTCTAAATTGTTCAAATCATGACCCCCGGGGGTTGGGCGGGGCCACAATGGGGAATCAATGTTTTACATAGAAATATATAGGAAAAATCTTTTAAAATCTTCTTCTCAAGAACCACTGAGCCAGAGAAGCTGAAACTTATTTAGAAGCATCCTGGGGTAGTGTAGATTCAAAATTGTTCAAATCATGACCCCCGGGGGTTGAGCGGGGCCACAATGTGGGTTCAATGTTTTACATAGAAATATGTAAAAAAAATCTGAAAATCAAAGCTGAAACTTATATGGAAGCATACTGGGGTAGTGTAGATTTCAAATTGTTTAAATTAAGATCAGTGGGGTAGGGTGGGGTCACAATATGTATTACAAGGGGGAAATCTGGTAAAGAACAGAATGGCCAAAGCTTCTCAGGTGAGTGATGTGGCCCATGGGCCTCTTGTTTTTGATCAAATCACTCATTTTTTTTTTACACAGGAGGAGGAATCCCAAATCTTGGAGGTGGTGGAATTCCAGGATTAGGAGCAGGTGGCATGGGATTAGGTGCAGGTGGCATGGGATTCGGAGCAGGTGGCATGGGATTAGGAGCAGGAGGTGGTGGGATTCCAGGATTTGGTGGCATGGGAGGTTCTGGATTGCCTAATATGGGAACAGGATTACCTGGACAAGGTACTTACAGAATACTGTATAAGTGGAAATTTTAGCGAGATGCAAATTTAGTGATTTGTCCTTAAAAATTGGTATTTTATTTTTAGCAAGATGTAATTTTAGCGATTTTAAAAAGCTCACTAAAGAAACTATTACAAATAAAGCACAATTAATATTTAGCGATATTCAATTTTAGCAATCTTGGCACCCTGCCTAATAATGCCAAAATTAAATCCTCACTAAAAATTCTGCTTATACCATATTTACTAGTATGATTGTTTTTTGAGGAGAAAGTACTGATTGAAGTGTTTTCAAATGCTTCAATTTATTAACATGATTAAATGGGAAATGTATATAAATTTAATTACTTGAGAATAGGAGGAAGACCTGGAATGTTTGGAGGTCAAAGACTCCCAGGAAATGTACGACCAAGGACACGTAAGTCACCTACAGGTCAAGGTTCAAAGTCCATCAGGAAGCCATGACTTCACAATAAATTTTCTTATTACCTTACAAGTATAACATGTAGAATTCATTTAATGTATTTCATAATTGACATCATTATGAAATTATTTCAGGCAAGATTTATTTTCATGTTGATATATATTGTTCATGTGTAGTTACATTTATTTATCAGGAGTTTATCCAACAGAAGCGTTTGCACAAGAAGTTCAGCAGGAGATTGAGAAAGGTACATGATGATAATGCTACTGTATACAGGATTATTTTCGCCCTTTTGCACTTATTGTGAACAATTTTGCCCTGTTTTAAATTCACCCAATCATAGTTCTGTTTAAGAAATTATGCTGTAATTGTAATTAGAATTGCCCCGTTTTAAATTCGCCTAATCAAGAGGAGAGGACAAAAGGGGCAAATTTAAAACGGGAGCGAAAATTTCCCTGTGTACAGTGATTAGATATGGACATTTTTTCCCTTGGTATATGAATAAAATTTAAACAGATAAGACTATAAAGTAAATGAATTTAAATGTTTCTTTCTAGCTAAGGCATGTAAGGACCCGTATGTCAAAGGAATGAACACCATCATTGTTGTCGATACATCAGAGAGCATGAAGGGGGACGGGATAGTTCAGGCTAAAGAAGCCATCGAGAAACTCATGTCAGGTCAGAGGTCAAGGTCAAATATAAACTACTGTATTAAAAATAAACGTATTCTGTATTACTGATTAGACTTCTCTCTGGAGCAATTTTGATGCAATTATTTTACAGAACTTGAGAGTATATCTATGGACTATGGACTGGAGGAGAATCTGTGCATCATCACATGTGGCAGTGACACTCGAGTCGTTCAACATCTGACCAACGACTACCAGCTCGTCAGACGAAGTCTAGGTCAACCAGTTTACTATATTTAATTTTAACTTTTTAAAATTTAGAACAAACAGGAAATATCTGGTAACCGTACAATTATGACACATTTTATCTCCAATAGTTTCAGATTTAAAATCATATTTAGGTGGTACAAGAGTATTTAGAAATTAGCAAAGAAATGTGAGGTGATAATGCATTGACTATGAGTCCAAATGAAATAAAAAATTTCTCTGTCATAAGCTGAAGATGATAGAATTTTAAGTTAAAATATGTTTGTTTGAAATATAATATGAATTTATAAAAATTAATTCTTGTCCATTTTATCAATAAATTACAGGTCAGATTCGGACAGGGGGAAGCACTCCTCTACAGCTGGCTATTTCCCTGGGAATTGGGGCTCTCCAGAGAGGTAAGTTTAAATTCAAACTATTACATCCCTCATTTAACTTTTGGAGAAACCTGTAAATTTAGTTAAAATGAATTACTAAAAAGGTTATAATTTTTTTCCAGCACTATAGTAAATGTTTTTGATCGATATTTTAAGTAGCACAAGCGGAAACAGTTGGGTCTCATATTCTACATCCGCGGGTGATTGTTCTTTCTGACGGACACGCCACTAATCCATCCAACCCTCAGGGGCCGGATTCTACCGCGGAGGAAACCTCTCAACAGGTTGTCATGGAAACTCAATTATTTCAGAATAAAACTATTTTATGGAGTGTAGATTTAAGATTTATTTTTGTTGATTAGATTTAGAAATTTTGTGAATTTTTAGGTAATTTTTGGGGAGATTTTCTCAGGAGCTTGTTATGATTTTTGTTATCGGTTTGTAGGAGACCCCAGGTGTTATAAGAATCATACAGAGCATGATAACCAACAAATGCCTGAAGTTTATCTACATCCCCGTGGGGACCCCCGATAGTGTAAGAGATACTTTATATACATATAGTACATCTCTATTACTTAATTCAATTTATTGATGAATATGCATATATTTGCAATGTGATAATAGATTTTTGCTTTATTCTCCAAACTTATGACCTAATGAAATTTTAAATTACAACAGACATTTTCCACTTTTGTGGAGTCCATGCCAGGAGCCCACATAGTACTGGCCGGTGATGTCCACAGCTTGGCTCAGTATCACATGCAGCAGGTGATGTATAAATAAAGTTATATAAAAATTAAATGCAAAGCATGTAGTAGAACTCACTTATATTTAAACAATAAAATGCTTTCTTTGTTTGTTATTACTGGAATTAATGGAAGCATCTGTTGCAGAAAAAATGTAATTTTTTTCTGCAGTAGATGCAACTGTTAATTCCAGCAATAACAAACAAAGAAAGACATTTTATTGTTTATATTTATATCTGTTTAAATAATCATTTAAAGAAGGATTAAAAAGTTTAATTATTGTATAAATGATGCGAACGTCTTTACACGTTTCATTGATGGCACAGCCACTGATCAGAAATCTGTACAGGCGACATGCCTAATGTAGTTCATGCAGTGATTAACGCAATAGGTTTTCTTAAGAAATAAAGGAGAAAGTATTTAGTGGATGTTAATTTAAGGAAGTAAAAGTAAAACTCTGTTATAACGAAGTCACTGAGACCTGTGAAATTACTTTGCTATATCCGTTATTTGTTATATCTGTATAAGAAATTTGTAAAATTTAAAAAGTTGCGGATCGAAGAAAACTTTGCTATATTCGTGAATTCGCAATATTTATGTTCGTACTAACCAATTTTGACTGTAACAGGAACCTCAAAGTCTGCTTCTTTATAATCAAGATTACTTATCCATGTACTTGTAATTCTTGACACTTTGTAGAGAGTGGTTGGAGAGGCTAAAGAGAAAAGGAAGGAGGGTCAGGTTACAAAGGAGACGGTCAAGGCCATCGCTCAGTCACAATACCCTTCACTGGGGGAGAGAGACATTGTAGGTTTTAATGCAGATTTAAAATTATGTTGTCTTGGATATACCATCGTTAGTAGTTATTGCATGCATTTATTATTTTCCTCAACATGAAGCATGTAGTCTAAGTAGTTGATTCCCAATTCTTTGAGTTAAGCCATATCTAATGTACATGTCAAGAATCTTGATTTATTTTTTGAGCTTGAAAATCTTATGTACTTCAACAAGAAAAAGAGGCGTATATTTTGTAAATTTTTTTCCCATGTTTTCATTCTTCAGAAGGTACCTTTCAAGAAAGTAATTTTGAATGTTTTTACTACCAGGAAGCCATCATGATGCAGATGAATGAACCAAACAGTCAGATCGAGTTCCAGGCCATGGACCCAGAGTTACAGGCCCTGGCAGAGCTGGGGATGCCCCAGGGGCCGGGGGGACCAACAACTAATCCCCTGGGAGGTCTCCAGCAGGGGCTGGCAGGGGTCAATATAGGAGGGGGAGGAGCAGCAGGGGCTGGTGGGGGAGGAGCAGGTGCCCCCTTCACTGAGGAACAGATGGCAGATGCCCAGAGGCAGATCAGGGAGAGGCGTGAGGAGATACAGAGGATGAGGGAGCGGGGGGAGTGGCCCCCCAAGGACAGCGACTCCATGCCCTTCCAACTGCCGGGTCTCATGGCCCGTCCTGACGGACCCGAGGCCCAGGCCGAAGAATCGGAAGAAATTACGCAGGAGAAGATTAACGAGCTCCTGGAGAAATATGGGGGTGGGCCACCAAAGAAAGACAATTTACCTAAACCACTGCAACCTGGGATACGGGTCACTACTGGGCCAGACTGGATGTGGAGGATGAATGAAGTGGAGGTGGGAGAAAAAGGTAGGTCAAAGGTTAAACCGGAAATATGTCACTGTATATCAGCAATTATTTCAATCTACATTTTCCTAAAGGGTGACCTATGTTATTTATATGTCTGCCTTCAGTAGAGCTTTTTTTCTCAAAATATTTTTCATGAAAAAGAAACATGATATTCTAGTTGATCTTGATTACTCATTCTTTTGGTAAATTACAAACATTATAAAATATTTGCCTTTCATTTTGTTAACAGGAGTGGTGGTAGAATCCAAACCTGATGAGGAGAACCCGACGGGAGAATTTGATGGGTGGATCCGAGTTAAGTGGGATAATGGGGTGGAGGAGGACTACAGATATGGACTCGACTACGAGTTTGACATCGAGCCTGAAATCGGAGGAATGGACGCCGTAGAGTGGCCACCAGGCAAACGTAATGTTTTATAGAGGGGAGATGTTTAGGAAGGGGGGTGGGGGGGGGGTGGAGTGAGCAGGAGATGGATTTGGGTCTGGGGTGAACTATTGATGATATCAGCCAACACAAAATGTTGGATAACATGATATACGTATAAAATTACACATATCAAATATTTAAAAAAGGGGTATGATGGCTTTGTACTTTTTAGCAGAGAGAGTGGGGAAAAAAAGGTCATTTATGATTACATCTATTCTCATTACTTGTGACGTGTATCTGTATAAAATCATTTTAAACTTGAGGACATCATTTAAATGTATAATTGTGAAAGGTTTTTAGAAAACTGCATTTTAGTGATCATATTAATCATATTGAAGCATATTGAATCTTACAAAATGAATTTAATCAAAGTAATGTTTATTTTTCAGAGAGAATCATTGTTGAGGAGGACCCACTATTGAATGACGATGAAGATTTCCTGGTCAGTTTAGTTCTAAATTGAATACAATGTATAAATACTTAACTTTACTATATATTTTTTAAGTTTAGCTTGAGATAGAAGAATTCTTGATTACATTATTTTTTTATTGCAGGAAACCATGCATAAACTTATAAACAAGGGAAATTCTTCACAGTCAGTAATTTATATTCGTTTACTTCATTTTCACTTGTTTTTGAAAACTTTAATGAATAAGAGTTGACATATCAAGTGAAATTGACAATAAAATTATTGGAAAAAAAGGTTTTGAATATGTAAATTGATTTATTTTTAGAACCAATAATGCCAGCAGTCCCGCGGGGGCCTCAGGTGTAGACCCATTCAGTTCAGAGTTACGGAACCCCTCAGCCCAGGGGCCTCCACCTAAGGCAGAAGATATCCCCTTCCTGAACCCCGCCCATGCTAAAGAGTACGAGAGGTTGATGAAGAACCCCCAGCCGGACCCCACGCTGCCCTACCTGTCAGAGAACCAGCTACCGAACCAGTTTGGTGGACCCCAGTTCCCTCCACATAACCTGGAAAATTTTCCAGGGAATTTCCAGCAATTCCAGAATCCACCAATACCAGACCAGACTGGTTCTCCTGTGACACCATCGACCAATCAGAACACAGCTGGAGCCACCAGTAAAAAACCCGAAGGTGTCTAATAATCATAATGAAAATAACAATTTCATTAATATTACCAGCTGGTATATATTTTCTATGCATTTTAGAAAAAAATGATTATGAAATTAAATTCTATATTTATCCTGCCATAAAATTGGTGTTACAGGAAACATATTCATTATGATAAATTGATGATGGTTTCCAGACAATGATTTTCAGTCTCTATAGTAGCATGTAGTCCCCTGTACTTTGCTGTAGGTACTATACTGTATGAAAGACAAGACCGAGGTCCAGACAAGGAGGTGTGTTATGTCTGGCAGTATTACACAGACGAGGGCGACTGGAGGTCCTACCCCCCGGACATCCAGAAAAAAGCCGAGACCGAGTATATGAAACGACAGCAGAAAGGCAGTATTGTTATTGACATGGGGAGTGGATCGTAAGTTTTATATACAGTATTGTCATTGACATGTGTGTGTGTGTGTGTGTGGAGGGGGTGGGGGTGATGATCCTTAAAACAATATCGTAGTTAGAAAGTATAAAAAAAAACAAGAGGCCCAGGGGCCACAGCGCTTATGAGCACAGGGCTTGTGACTCCCCCCACCCCACCCCCCACCCCCCTCCAGGCAGTCATCATTTGAACATACTAGTATTACACTACATGAGGATGATTCCATATAAATATCACTAATCATACCTTTGAAGTACTTGAAAAGATTTTTAAAGATTTTTCCTATATATCCTTATGTAAAACTTGGGTCGGCCATTTTGGCCCCACCCTTGCCCCGGGGGTCATGATTTGAACAAACTTGAATCTGCACTATGTGAGGATGATTCCACATGAGTTTCATCTTTCCTGGCCCAGTGGTTCTGGAGAAGAAGATTTTTAAAAGATTTTTCCTATATATTCCTATGTAAAACTAGGGTCGGCCATTTTGGCCCCACCCTACCCCCGGGGGTCATGATTTGGACAAACTTGAATCTGCACTACCTGAGGATGATTCAACATGAGTTTCATCTTTCCTGGCCTAGTGGTTCTGGAGAAGAAGATTTTTAAAAGATTTTTCCTATATATTCCTATGTAAAACTACAGCCATTTTTGTGCCCCGGGGGTCATGATTTGAACAAACTTGAATCTACACTACCTGAGGATGATTCCACATGAGTTTCATCTTTCCTGGCCCAGTGGTTCTGGAGAAGAAGATTTTTAAAAGATTTTTCCTATATATTCCTATGTAAAACTAGTCGGCCATTTATACCCCTATCATTATTTACAAACTTGAATCTGCACTACCTGAGGATGATTACACATGAGTTTCATTTTTTCTGGCCCAGTGGTTCTTGAGAAGAAGATTTTTAAAGATTTTTTCCTATATATTCCTATTGTCATTTTGGCCCCACCCTTGCCCCGGGGGTCATGATTTGAACAAACTTGAATCTACACTACCTGAGGATGATTCCACCTGAGTTTCATCTTTCCTGGCCCAGTGGTTCTGGAGAAGAAGATTTTTAAAAGATTTTTCCTATATATTCCTATGTAAAACTAGGGTCGGCCATTTTGGCCCCACCCTTGCCCCGGGGGTCATGATTTGAACAAACTTGAATCTACACTACCTGAGGATGATTCCACATGAGTTTCATCTTTCCTGGCTTAGCGGTTCTGGAGAAGAAGATTTTTTAAAAATGCCATTAATTTTTAACAAATTCATGATTATCTCCCCTTGGAAAAGGGCGTGGCCCTTCATTTGAACAAACTTGAATCCCCTTCACCCAAGGATGCTTTGTGCCAAGTTTGGTTGAAATTGGCCCAGTGGTTCTTGAGAAGAAGTCGAAAATGTGAAAAGTTTACAGACAGACGGACAGACGGACAGCTAGACAGACAGACGGACAGACGGACGCCGGACAAAATGTGATCAGAAAAGCTCACTTGAGCCTTCGGCTCAGGTGAGCTAAAAATGTATTCGAAGGGTCATTTAAAAAAAAAAAAAAAAGAATATGGGGTAAGAATGAGCCTTTGCTCAGTACTTGAAATTTAAAAAATTTGTGAGAAAATTTATCATGTTTATTCTCCGTTTGTTTGAATGGAATTCACTTACATGTAAATGTGTTTTATTTAATTTTTCAGGGAGAGGATAATTTTCAAAAGCATGGAACAGAGAAATAATGAACTACGGAAAATACGTCCAGTTCGAAGAATTGGTAGGTTTAATCAACTGTAATTATTTGCATACATGTACTTTGAAGGTATAATACATGTAGTCCTATAATTAAAAGTATTTAAAAATGTCCTTGACTTCAACAGCACATCTAGACTACAATGTACATGTATCACTTTCTATTTTAGAAATTTAAATCCAAAAGTTTGATAAGTAGTTCAACATCAAGACTACAGTATATTAATGATGATTTTTTTTTTTTGCAGAAGCTGATGCTGAAAAATTAAGAGAACTCCAGGAGATGTGGTCTTCTACCTGAACAGGAAGTGATGTCATCACTTACTGAACAGGATGTGATATCCATTAACATGATTGACTTGAAAAAATGGTGATTAATGATGTTTCATAAAGTGCCATAAATATTATTACACTCATTCATTCATATAAAAATTTTAAGACTTTGGTCATGTTTATTTTTCTAATGTAACATTTATTGATATCATTATAAAATTGTTTTAGATATACATGTAGATTGTTTTTTTTTTTAGGGTTTATTGCTAATATTGAACATCTGTTGTAAATATTCAAGGTTTTTTGTGTTATGTATAGATGTATGTCTCTTGGAAATGTTGTTCTATGTTTTTGTTAAGTATCAGCAGTATTTATTACATTTTTGTACATACCCACATTTCTGTCTTATGTAGATTTTTGTCTGAAGTTTGAAATGTTTCCTTTTCCAGGGAACTCTATATTTTCTGTTAATAGAGGAATGAAATTTATAATCTCTTTACAGTGATTTTTTTAGATCAATTGTATGTCCTAAATATGACAATAAAAGATTTTTGAACGTTAGTGAATATATATTTAATTAATTTATGAGAAAAAATGTAGAGGATTAAATCTCATAAAGTTCCTGTAATTTTTTCCAAATATTTACAGCAAATTTTTCAAAATAAATTTTTTAGATAGTTGCCATGTCTTCTTTTAAACTTAAAAAAAAAGTGATGTGTTTGTGAAATACTATGCACCCGAAGACAACAAAGTTAAAAAAAAGCTATTTTTAGCATATAGATCACAGACACTGTCACAAGGTGATTAAACTTGGTGTCATTTGAAAGAGCTTGATTAGTAGAATATGCATACCAAATACAAAGTCTCTATCTTTCATGGTTCAAAAGTTATGGCGAAGGTTAAAGTTTGCAGAAAAAACTATTTTTATCATGTAGGCCACAGCCAAGGTCACAAGGTCATTGACCTTGGTGTCATTTGAAAAAAAAACTTGATTAGTAGAATATGCATACCAAACATGAAGCCTCTATTTTTCATTGTTCAAATGTTATGGCAAATGTCAAAGTTTGAAGACAAACAAACAAACAAACAGACAGACAGGACAAAAACAATATACGCCTCGGATCTATCGATCCGGGCGTTTAATAAAAAATACTGTACTTTTACATCTCTGCATGTATGAAGTTATGAATTGTAAATTTTCTTGCTCATTTCAGAAATTGTACTTGATGACAGTCATTTTTCTCCCCAAAGTTAAAATTAAATTAAGTCTTTCAAATTTCTCTTTGAAATAATATTCCTGGTAATATTCCTGAGGTTTTCTTTAGGTTTCTTCCACTCCTTTAAAATATTCATTAAAAGCAGGTCTATCATCTATCACACATTAATTGACTTACAGTACCTAGATCACCTGTGGGTATCCCACAACGTATTTTTCATTGACGTTATAATAAATGGAGCAACCATTTCTTTCTGAGGGGATGGAGGGTGAAGGTGGACAACACCTGTCTCGAAGCCAGCAGGAAATAATCTGACCTTCTTCTCTGGAACACCTCCCTCCCTCGCCCAACACACACGCAAACATCACCACCACTATATTATAATATGTATTTTCTGTGTTTGAGTTTTTTGTGTCACAGTTTTTATAAATGCCAACGTTGAGTTGAGTTGCTAGTCTTTCCACATTTTCGCCATCCAAGGGTTAGAACTGGTCCACTATTATCCTCCCTCAAAATCGTTTGGGATAAGAAAACAACCAATTGAAAGATATTTTTCGTATTGGAAATGGACATCACCAAAATTGAAAAATTCTCCGCGACAGCAAAAAAAAAAAAAATAAATAAATAATAGGGATGTCAAATCGGTCAATTTTTAATACTCGATTACTCGGACGTTTTTCCGATCGAGTACCCGGGTACTCGGTGGAAGTGTAAATAAATATGAACAAGTAAATTGATGACTGTAAAACATTGTAAACTCTTGTAAAAATAAAACCACATGCTCTGATGGGAGGTTTACCCTTAAATGTATTTCTGTTGTAAGAATGATGAGCACTTGTTACGACAAAATTTAAATAACATATTTTGAAGTTCAATTTAAATATCAGAAAAACACAAGAAATAAAATTATAAGAGGTTCACAGTGTTTTTGTAAAAAAAAAATCTACTCCGTAAATGTAATGCAAATTTGTTGCGTTTGACGTCCAAGAAATTGGTATTTTTAAGCCTTTGCCTTCAACCATTTGTATTGGCATGTAATCAAACACAACCAATCTACAATCGCACGTGTAATATCATTTACGGCTTCTCGGAAAATTGACAAAATTATCTAATTTATTTAAACAAATTATACCTTAACCGATGTTCAGTGAAAACAAATAATTAAAGCAAACCAAAAATAAGGGTAGAAGACCGCCGAAGGTGAGCAAAGCCAGGTAACAGGTGCTTGGTCACGATAATTTCTGTATAAACACTGTCACAGGCAATTACGGTCATTTAGAGGCATAGGAAACCCTAATTACTGCATGTACAAGTGCAAGGAGCATTTTAAATTATAAAACAGATTGTTTAATGCATTAATGAATAAGTTTAGAAACATTCAAAAATATACATCCGAGTTACCGAGTACCGATTTTAGTATTCGATACTCGGACGTTCGATCGAGTACCCGGTTAACCGGGTACTCGTTGACATCCCTAATAAATAAAAAAAAAAAAAAAATAAAATAAATAAATAAATAGATAAAGAAAAACAAATCTTATTATTATATGAGATTATCTGCTGTAGTATTCTATACAGAGGAAAAAATATGAGGAAAAGTTACCCCCCCTCCTCCGGTTCCTGTACGGTCTGTTTATAAAAAAAAAAATAGAGGTACTGTGAGCAATGAGCTCACTCAAATTGAAAATGATACCCCCGCCTCCCATATGGTTAATATAATGGCAAAGTCCGTGTTTTGCTCTGAAAGAGCGAAAATTGTGTACCAGATCAATAAGTAAAATAGGACACGTGTATTATGAAATAAAGAATCTTTGAAATATATCGTTAAATTTTATTCAGTGGAGGGGATAAGAGATGCATATGGGTTACCCTAGCTTTAATTATCTGTTCAATTTTTTAGAAAGAATGACAATGTTCAGTTTTTGCTCTAGGAAACCAAAAACATGTGTCAGATCAAAAAGTGACATAGGAAGTGCACAATGGCACTACACAGTAATGTATGAAACAAAGATCTATTCTGTAAAAGTCTCGATTTTATTTCATTCAGTTTTATATACATGTAAGACTGAGGGGTTGTGGATAAGGGACGGGTGCTAAAAACGTAACAGACGGACGGACATCCCGATTAATATATATATAAATATACACTCCCAGTTTTCACAGAAGTTGGATCAGGTGCAACGGAGGAGTGAGCATCCCTTGCCGACCAGTCACACCAGCGGGGGGGGGGGGGGGGTTACAAGCCCACATTTAACAATTTTCTTGAATACGTGTATTTTAGCATTGACCTTAAATTCTTGTACCATTCTTTATCAAGTTTCTTCAAACTATTACGTGTAATTTTATTTATCGGATTTTTATAAAATTAATTAAATCGTTCCTTTACGTCATACTTCCTATCATCTCTTCGGATTAGTGTTTTTCATCCGTGTTTGGTTTCTTCCGGATGTAGAATTCGGACATGGCTGACGCAAACTTGAACAATCGGGAAACAAATTTAGAAGACGTGCAAAATCAATTAGATGAAGCGACACTAAGCAACGCAGATACAGACGGTCAACCAGCAAATGAAGAAGTGGAAGAAAGGGAAATAACACAAACTGACCATTTAAATAAGCGCCTATTGGCCGCATTTCTCGACCGTATAAACGGACCAGGAACGTCTCCAGAAATTCTTCAGGTTGAGCCGGTGGAAAACGAGGGTTGGGAGGAAGAGGGTGAAGAGACCGAGAAGGACAAGTGAAGCATGACGGGACGGGCACCTGTTATCATTGGGATCTCTGGGTGAGTGATAATGTACGGTACACCGGTGTGACTGTAATGTACGCTGCCAGGTGTACCGAGTTATAAAACAGGATCATAAACACGGTATTTCACAATATAAAACCAGTAGCAGTCCTTAGATCACAAAGAATTAAATGTTTGAAATTAAATAATCTGATATAATAAATATAATCATGACATTTTGTCAGAAGTGATAAAAGTATAAAGTTTATGTTCTTGAAACATAAAACACTTTCAAGTTAAGTTTAATAATCATATTGCAAATTTAAGGACTTGAAATGAGGCTTCTGCAGATAAATTATTACTAAGATTTACTTTTAACCACTTTTTTCAGATTTTGAAGTCCGTTAGGTTTAGAAGATTCAACCTTATAATTCTAGGGTTACTCATATAAGTTGTGTCTATGTCTCCTTCTCTTTTTCATTGTACAGAAATCACATTTGATTTGTGCAATCAGCTTTATTAATTTCATCATTTTACGATCTATATTTTACAGATAATTTCCAGCTTTAAAAACCATAACAATGATGAATCATTTCAACTCATTCAACATGCTCAATACAACATTAAATGTTAACAACATCATGATTTTGAAAATTGCTAGCCATTTAAATAAGTAGTTGGTATTATTCAAAATTAAAGGTCAACAATAAGGATCTGTAAATAAAGTATTCAGTTTTATCAATAACCAGAAATAACAGGAACAATGGAAATTCAATACATTGGATTACAGTGTAATTATGCCAATGAACTGTTTAAACATGTATATTAAATCAATTTTTTTCATAGATATAACTCGGAGAAAGGTTTTGGATAACATATTGCACATTATTCTGTGTAAATGCTAACTCTGATACATTGTAATCATGTTTGAATATTATGAAAATGTATTGCGTAATTTTATGTACAGATATATAATCTTTTCAGATTTATTCATGCTACCTTTAAAGGAAAATTGAAATGCATTTTCCATGAGCATTTAAAAGGGAAAAAATAACTTTACAAATAAAGAGTTATTTATAGTACATATTATATAATTGTTCACAATGATTTATGATATCAGACATCTTTTTACAGGGTAACAAACAGTGGGAAGACGTCCCTGACCAATAAAATCCGAGCTCATCTGCCGGGATGTCACACCATGTGTCAAGACTCCTATTTCTTAGTAAGAATTAATTGGACTACAATGTATGGTAAATTTGTCTAAGCTGTAGTTATATATATAGTGTATATTTTATCATCTTGAAAAAAGTTAACTTTATGAAATGAATGTGATTTATTTTATATATGACAGAAGAAAGTAAAATGAAACCAAGATATGCATACACGTGTGTTTTCATGCATAAAAATTGAGATAACATCACAAAGATACATTTTCAGCATTTTAAATTGTTAAAAAAAATTCCTTATGTAATTCTTATGAAGTATTTCTACAGGTGTTTAGCTACTGGGTACATCATTTCATTTCATGAGCAACATATTCCTAGCTTCTGGTTGTAGGGCTGAGTGATGCTCTCAATATACATGTATCAAACAAAAACTTTTCTAAAAGACATTATCTAATTTTTCATACAAGTACAAGTATTTGCTTGAAAAAGGAGTTAAACCTTTTAAAAAAAAGGCCTTTTTTCAACTTTAACCTGAATATAAATTAAAGCTTGTAAATATCAGTTAAATTTTAGAAAATTTACAGAGTGTATATATGAACAGTCCACATTTAACTTCTCCAGTTTTATCACAATATCTTGAACATTGTTTATACCTAAAATACTATGGATATGTCCAACTCTTTTGGAATCCCCCCCCCCTTTTCTCTATGCTTTCTTAAACCTGAATATTTTCATCGGCCATTTGAGTTTGAAAAAACAAGATTTGATTGCACATGTAATGTTTCTGGTGACAATCAATAGAGTGCACTGTGTAAAGCAGTTAAAGCTTTTCTGCTGATCAATGAACATATGTACAATGTACCTGCTTGAAGCTTGTTAAAATATCCGATAAAGTTAATATGAATGTGCTCAGCCTGATTGATGTTCTTCCATACTTTACCTGTTCCTGGGTATGTGAATGTTCCTATTGACATTTAATTCATGCTTTATATCATCATATTCTCCTCCTTGATTCACAGGACCCCCCACATCCTCGCCTGACCCCAATACCAGAACTAGACCATTATAATTTCGATGGTTTGTATAATAAAAGGGTGTTTTAATTGAAGTCATTCTCTGTAAAATTCGTAAATATAATCACTTTAAGGGTCTAGCTTTCAAAGCATTATTTATTTTCGGTACATAAATTCAAATTTGTAAAAATTTAAGAAACAAAAATGGCAAGGGATAAATAATTGTAAAAAGAGAGATGTGAAGTTTATTAAAGTTAGGAATACAAGAGAATGAAGAAATACATCTATTTTTAGAACTGAATGCCCTTGACATGGAAGCAATGGTAGCAGATGTCCAGTCCTGGAAAGATGCTCAGAGTAACTCCACTCCTCTGGGATCCACCCCTAATGATCTGTATAGCAATGTGCTAATTGTAGAAGGATTTAGGATGTATGCATTGAGGTAAGAAAGCCAAGTATATTTACACCTGTAGATATCAGTAATAATTGGGGATGAGTCAGCCAAACATTTCTGAGTGACTTTGATACTGTTTAATGGTGCATGAAATATCTTAAGTTTTTCCTGAAGTGTCTCTTTGCTACAATCAGCAGAGAATAGGTGATCGTTTTAATTTGATAAATGTCACTGTAAAATTTAAAGATAAAACTTGTTTTAAAAGCGAAGAGAGTCAGAGGAAATGGAAAATTATAGACCCAAATTTTAGATATAAAATGTTCTCCTTTATCAGGTGTATTTTGCTTAAATAAAGTATGAACATGAGTGATGAAGGAAGGATTTTACCTAAATTTTAAAAAAGTGCACATGATTAGAAGACATTGAAATACATTTAGTGATGAAGGAAGCATTTTACATAAATTTTGAAAAGGTGATTAGAAGACATTGAAATATATTTAGGATTGCAATTCAATGTTTTACTTTTTAGATGTATCTTAGAATTTAAAGAAGTTGTTTAATTGGATTATTTGGCTTTCTTTTTATAGGGATTTGGAACAGCTCTTGATGAAGAAATATTTCTGTACCATTCCATATGACATTTGTATAGCAAGAAGAAGGTAAACATTCCAAACAAATGACAAATATCACTTTATTTATCAAATGTCATTCACATGTGTAATTGTTATTTTTCATTTTTAATTGCTTTATGATTTCCTTAAACCTCTCACTTAGGTATACCAGAGACTTGACAAATCAAATGACAAATAATACTTAAAATATCAAATGTCAAATATGCAAATAAATTGTTATTTTTCATATTTAATTGTCCTGTGTTTTCATAAATCTTCGCTAAATATAAATGAATACCCCCGCAAACGAAGTTTGGGGGGGTATATAGGAATCACCTTGTCCGTCTGTCTGTCTGTCCGTCTGTCTGTGCAATCGTGTCCGGTCCATATCTTTCTTACAGAGGGACATTAGAATCTACTACTCCACACTAAGATTGCTCATGCCCTAAGGGTGTGTCATGACCTTGACCCAAGGTCATTTGGGGAAGTTCAAGGTCACTGGAAGAAAAATTTCATAATTCGTGTCCGGTCCATATCTTTCTTATGGATAATTTTGGTAGGTTCTCATTTCACACAAAGATAGCCCATGACCCAAGGGTGTGTCATGACCTTGACCCAAGGACATTTGGGGAAGTTCAAGGTCACTGGAAGAAAAATTTCAAAATTCATATTTGATACATATTTTTTATGGATAAACTTGGTAGGTTCTCATTTCACACAAAGGTTGCCCATGACCGAAGGGTGTGTCATGACCTTGACCCAAGATCATTTGGGGAAGTTCAAGGTCACTGGAAGAAAAATTTCATAATTCGTGTCCGGTCCATATCTTTCTTATGGACAAACTTAATAGGTTTTCATTTCACACAAAGATTGCCCATGACCCAAGGGTGTGTCATGACCTTGACCCAAGGTCATTTGGGGAAGTTCAAGGTCACTGGAAGAAAAATTTCATAATTTGTGTCTGGTCCATATCTTTCTTATGGATAAACTTACTTCTGAAAAACCCAGCAGGGGGGTATTTTGTCCCGTTTGGACAGTTCTAGTTAAACCAAATTTTGACAACTGAATTTTTTTTTATTTTGTAGAACAAGACATTATACTCCACCTGATAAGCCGGGGTATTTTGAAAAAATAGTTTGGCCTGAGTCTATACTTCATCAAAGAGAAATACAGGAACAAGATGATATAGGTAAATATTTTACTATAAACCCCAGGCTAAGAAGTACAATAACAGAATAATGCATAATTCATACAGAAATTTCTCTCAGAGTAAAAGGTAATATGAAATACTTTTGAATGTTCAATGATCGTAAATTCCATGCATTATGCTCATTCACATTTTAAATCCCCACTAACAATTATTTGCTCAACATATTTATTTATTGAGTCATCTGTATATTTGGATATTGATGAAATTAAGTTCCCACGAACCAAGAAAAATTATTGTCAAAGAAATTTTTATTGTTTCGTGGGGATAAATTTAATGTTTGAAATAAAACGATCCTCAGAATTATCAAATGTGCACACACCAGAGTGTATCACGTTAAATATGATATTTTATTTTAAATTTTGTTAAACATGATATTTTATTTATAGTTTTGTTAAGTATGATATTTTATTTTTAGAATACCTTGATGGATCCAGTGATCAAGAAGAATTGTGTTTGAAAATTGTTAGTGAAATCAAGAGACTATGTAACAATATAAGTAATTGTGATTAATCCTTGTTTTACATTGTGTTTGCAGCAGATTTTGAAATTGATTTGTGTATACAATAAATTATTTATTTTTAGATAAATTTTTTTGTTAGAGTTATGCTTGAGGTGAAAAGTTGGTTTTTGAATTCTTTGCTCTCTCCTAGAACACAGTTAAGAAAAAAAAAAACCAGAATTGGTACTTGTATTATAAATAGTTTTTATTTTAATTATCTCTTACCCGCTGAAATCTTCAAGAAACCTGTATAATGACAACTTTATGAAAATTGAAATGTTCATATAATACTAGAGCTATCTTTCTTTTCTTGCTCCTCCTTACACACATATTCAAGAAGTTTATTTTTAAAAAAAACCCCACTGTTCTGGTCAAAAAAAGGCAGTCTTTCATCTTGCACAGAAACATATAACATGTCTCTTTAACTTAAATGGTAATCTAACAACCAACCTCTATGATAAACGTGATGCTTTTTATTTTTAGCTCACCTAAGCCGAAGGCTCAAGTGAGCTTATCTGATCACATTTTGTCTGTAGTCCGTCTGTCCGTCCGTCTGTCTGTCTGTCTGTAAACTTTTCACATTTTGGACTTCTTCTCAAGAACCGCTGGACCAATTTTAACCAAACTTGCCACAAAGCATCCTTGGGTAAAGGGGATTCAAGTTTGTTCGAATGAAATGCCACGCCCTCATTCTAGGCGAGATAATTGGGAATTAATAAAAAATTGGTGGTATGTTTTAAAAATCTTCTTCTCAAGAACCACTGTGCCAGGAAAGCTGAAACTTATATGGAAGCATCCTCAGGTAGTGTAGATTCGAGTTTGTTCAAATCATGACCCCCGGGGGTAGGGCGGGGCCACAATGGCCGACCAAAGTTTTACATAGAAATATATAGGAAAATTCTTAAAAAATCTTCTAATAAAGAACCACTGTGCCAGGAAAGCTGAAACTTATATGGAAGAATCCTCAGGTAGTGTAGATTCAAGTTTGTTCAAATCATGACCCCCGGGGGTAGGGCGGGGCCAAAATGACCGACCAAAGTTTTACATAGAAATATATAGGAAAATTCTTAAAAATCTTCTTCTCAAGAACCACTGTGCCAGGAAAGCTGAAACTTATATGGAAGCATCCTCAGGTAGTGTAGATTCAAGTTTGTTCAAATCATGACCCCCAGGGGTAGGGCGGGGCCACAATGGGGAATCAAAGTTTTACATAGAAATATATAGGAAAAATCTTTAAAAATCTTCTTCTCAAGAACCACTGTGCCAGAAAAGCTGAAACTTATATGGAAGCATCCTCAGGTAGTGTAGATTCAAGTTTGTTCAAATCATGACCCCCGGGGCTAGGGCGGGGCCACAATGGCCGACCAAAGTTTTACATAGAAAGATATAGAAAAATTCTTTAAAAATCTTCTTCTCAAGAACTGCTGTACCAGAAAAGCTGAAACTTATATGGAAGCATCCTCAGGTAGTGTAGATTCAAATTTGTTAAAATCATGATCCTCTGGGGTAGGACAGGGCCACGAGAGATGATCAAAGTTTTACATAGAAATATATAAGAAAATTCTTTAAAAATCTTTTTCTCAAGAATAGTAAAGGCATAATTGCTCATATTTATATGGAAGTATCCTCAGCTAGTGTAGATTCAAGTTTGTACAAATCATGACCCCCAGGAGTAGGGTGGGACCAAAATGGCCGATCAAAGTTTTATATAGAAATATATAGGAAAATTCTTTAAAAATCTTCTTCTCAAGAAAAGCAAAGCTATAACAGATCATATTAATTTGGAAGCATTTTCAGGTAGTGTAGATTCATGTTTGTTCAAATCATGACCCCCCAGGGGTAGGGCGGGGCCAAAATGGCCAATAAAATTTTTGTATAGAAATATATAGGAACATTTTTAAAAATTTCTTTTCAAGAATAGCAAAGCCATGATTGGTCACGGGACTACTTTTGGATTTAAACTTTACAATAATAAACCAATTTCTACTTTTTCCTAGCCACAGTGCTCAGGTGAGCGATGTGGCCCATGGGTCTCTTGTTTTATTGTAAATATCCCTGATCTATGCAGCAGTATACCTTCATCACCTGCGTACATAGTTTAAATGATCTCAGTTGATTGGATACGCAATAGCATGCTTTACGCATGAACAATTTTTGAAAAGAGATAAATTATTGACAAACAAGTTGCTGAAACAAGAATATCAGCAGTCTTGTTTAAAGTCATCATTTTGTAAGTTCTATGGTCGATACAATGACCTAAGTGTCAGCAAATACAATTTATCATGGAGTCAATGCTGACTCAGACGTTTTTCATACCAATTGTTAGTCCATGTTATTTATACACCGAATTGACAACGGATTTTCCCATTATTACCTGATCATAACAAGGAGCACACGACGGGTGTGACTGGTCGGCAGGGGATGCTCACTCCTCCATGGTACCTGATCCCACCTCTGATGTTTCGGAGGTCTGTGTTTGTTCAGGTCCTATTTTGTATTGTTTTATGGACTTAAATGTTGAATACTGTTCGTTATCTCCATACCCTTCTTGAAAATCCCAAACAGTGACACCCATACATTGATATCCCCTTCTCTCTACAAACAATATACTAATTAATACAGTAATCTTCCCTGTTTGTTCAAATGAACACCATGGTAACAAGAAGACGGGTCCAGTTCTTTATGTTTGGTCTGAAATCCACTGGTAATATTATGTTAAATAAATGTAGCATAATTATTTTTTTATTTTTATTATTTTCTTACATTTACTTTTCTTAATCAGTAGATTAGTATGTTTTTATTATTTTACTTTCATTCGTAGACTAGATTGTTTATCAATGTCTTAACCCAGACTGCGAACAGGTCATGGGGAGCTGTTAATTAGGCTAGGAGGAGGCTTTATACAATAGTAGTGATTTATAGCATTTAGATCTGATAGCTTGACCTTAGTTTAGTGCAGGGGTGATTACGAGGAGCAATGAGAGGAGTCATAACCTATATAAGCGGGGTATTTTTAGGATGAATAGATTTTTATTAGAGATTTTATTGGGAGCAATATGGAAGAGTATTTTAATTATGGGAATTTAACTTGAATTATTCTAAGTGCCTTTCATTCAATTCTTTGGATTTATACTTTATAACATTGATTGGATTATATTTTACTTTCATTTGGATTTAATAAACGTTTTACTACTATTTTGTGTTTTATTACAAAGAGGAAATATTATCAGGAGCTACCAAAAATATGAATGTGAAAAAGGATTTACTCGGAAACGCTACAAATGGTGGCATGTGGTGGGATTCTTTAGATTCTTTGGATAATTTGTGAATTTTATTGTGAATCAAAATGGATCTAGACGGACCTTAATTCGCAAATGTGTTGGATTATTGTGATTCTGAAAATTTGATTTTCATCGGATTTATTTCATTCATATTACTGGATTATTACATGTGACTTGTGTATCATACTTTTCATAGTTATGGATGTATACAGATTCGCAAATGTGTATGACTATGATGACAATGGAAACTTAGTGCATATTGGAAGGATTACAATTCACGATAAAAAGGAGTGTCCAAACTGTTATTGTATGTTTAAAGTGAGTGAGAACCGTTTTTCACTTGTCACGGAAAAAGGAGAAATCAGTGAATTCTTAAAATGTTCGTTTTGTAACTGCAGGATTAAAGCATATACAAAGCAGTGTACCATTGAAATGTAAAACATTTTGAAAATGGATGAAACTTCGTATTCTTTAATTGATATGGAAATGACAGATTGTGGCAAATCTCCAAACAAGCAAACTCCTGGATTATTTTCAAGCCCAGCTAGAAGTCCTAAATTACGATGTACAAACATACGTCGTCGTTTGGAAGATTCATTTGAGAATAGTGAAAATTTCGCTCCGGAATTTCCACACATGGAACAGCCAATGAACAGTTATGAACTTCAGGAGGAAAAGTATTTTAAACAAGGATCCAGAAATTTAGTTTCATTATTTTGGATATCCGTGTGTATTATTGGATGTGTTATTGTGTTTGCTTTGTATCGCTATTTTCCGGGATACATGCTGTTGTGTTTGACAAAGGAATTCATCATGTCTGGAGGAGCATTTGTAGTATTTTCCTCAATCATTGGAATGATGGTGAAATTGGCAAAAAGTACTGAAAGCCCATCTAAAGGGATGGAAACTCAGAGAAATTATCCAGGGATAGCTAGAGTGAATGGTAAAGGAAGCCAGGAATCATCCTATCAAATTAATGTTAAAAGAACTTTCAAGGGAGATGGAAATGAAATTTGGTGCGAATTCATTCGTTATTTTGAAAATATTGCAATTCTTAATAACTGGAGCTTGGATCGTATGAGGAGAGTGTTACTTACTGCTTTACGTGGTCAGGCTGAAACATATGCTTATGGTTTACAAGATGACAAAAGAAATAGCTATGATGAGTTGAAACAAGCCATGGAGTATAGATTTGGACACAGGTCAATGAAGGAAAGTTATGTTGCAGAGGCAAAACTACGAAGAAAGAAGGAAGGTGAATCGTATAGGGATTTTGCTCAATGTCTGGAGGATTTGTATCGAAGAGCACACCCTGAAAGCCGAGAGTATGTTCAAGAATGTAGTCTAAAGACTTTCCTTGATAATTGTAGTGAGGTGGAAAATTTTAGGCTTGCAGTTAGAAGAACCAGACCTAAGACATTACAAGAAGCGGTAACGGCTGCAATGCAAGAGGAATGCATAAGGATTAGTGAACAGCAAAACAGAGATCCGAAAACCTTGACAAAGCCCAGAATTTATCAAGTTAGCCAGCCCAATGATGTGAGTAATGGATTTGACAATGTGAGACAACATGTGAAGAAGGCTTGCTTCAAATGTAATTCTACACAACATCTTCTAAGGAATTGTCCTGTCAAAAACAAGGGGAAAATAAGCAGTGCAATAAGTGAAACCGTGAAACAGTTAAACAGTGGGAGACCGAGGCAGTAGGCCGTGCGTTGGTCGCTGATATGAATAGGCCTAGTACAGAAGAGTTAACTCACAGTGATTTACGAGTAGTTAATTACAGAGCTCATGAGGAGGCCTGTAAT